TCGAGTAATAAAATTATGCAATTTATTTTCGAATTTACAGTCGAATGCTTCGCTGTTGATACACGCCGAGAATTTAATTGGGAATAACAAAATTATCGTTGAATGTCTCAGGTCTTAAGAAGAAATGTACAACTTTGTCATAGAAGATTTCATTTTCAAAGTCAAGAATTCTACCCTGGTGCACTAAATAAATTTTTGAACTCCATTTCCCTCGGGAAACTGATAACATTTTATTCTAAGAAGGAATCGCGTGTATTTGACGAGCTTTTCGTCTAACATCTGGCAAGAAAAACCTCGTTGACTTCGCTTTCACGGCGTTAAAATCACAATATATATACACACATACATACATATATATATATATATATATATATATAGAATCATCGGAAAGTCGACGACGTGGAAACGATCTCGACGTCTCATCGTCGTCGTCGTCGTCGTCGCCGTCTATAAAAGCACACCAGATATCAAACATCTTTTGATGCGAGAAAGTGGCCTGGATAGAGTGTGGCAACAATGGCTTCTTTGCTTCGTTAATCGTTCAGAATGTACGCGCAATTCATGGCTCGACAAACAGACGCCCGTAACAACAGGCCTAGGCTACACGTCAAAGCCAGGACAAAGACGATGTATCGAAACCGAGAATAATAGTTGAAAGAGCGACGATGCCTTCATCGGAGAACCAAGTAAACGCTGACAATAGCGAAAACCGAGTACAACACTTTTTTAGGATGAATAAATCTTTCTGTAAAAATTTGCAGTAATATATATATCGTATGTACAATATATATATATATTGGAAATTTTTATGTTTCAATTTTCGGTAAAAAGAGAAAGATTTTCAACGATGGTTTCAACCTTCCTCGCGAGAAGTTATTGTTTCGTGTTTCTTTCTCGAAGGAATAATGCAATGATCGAACAACACACGACAATAACGATATATAGACCAATAGACGAGTCAGTTGAAGATATTTCTCAAGGATTTAAAAATGTTAAATGACTGCGAAGCATTCAGCGAAGCATTTGAATTGAAGGTCTCGGAATGATATTTGTTTCCAAGGTTGTTTCGAAATGAAAATCGTGTCCAGAACCGGGGAATCGAAGGATAAAGCACTGATAAAGATAAGCTGGCTCGAACACCTTCAAACACCTGAACACGATTTTCAGCTTCGAAACAACTGAGATTATCTAAAAAGGTTCGTCCCTCTTCTCGAGGGACTTGAGAAATCCCCTCGACGATTAGAAAAACACAGATTGGTGAAGTGTGAGAATGGCCGGAAGACCACAGGGCAGAATTAATTCAAATAAGATAAAGTTTTAAGAAGCGAGCGAGACTGTAATTAATGGGTTTCCGATGCTCGGATAGAAGCAACCGTGAAACGTGACCCCGATGTGATAGTCTTCTGTAGCACACCGGCGCACGCTATTTAGGGGAGCAAGCTATATTTCATCTACTATCGAGAAACGTCGTAGATAATCTAGCCGTGCTATCGATCTCGTGTGTTTTCAGCGAAGGGGCAGTACCTGGGCTCGCCGTGCGACGTCTCGTGCAATCCGGAACTGCAGCACGTGTTCTGCGACACGGTCACCGGTTTCTGCGAGTGCGAGAAATTCTATCCGGTTCGTCTTGGGCCTACCAAAGGATGTGCCAAACGTACGTAAAACACACGTTCCACAGACACGGTTCCCCGCGTGTTATTCCCACGTTGTTCAAGTAGGTCGTTCCGATAGCGGGAACGCGGACAGCTGAAGCAGTGAAAATAAACGTCGATTGTTCCGTCCAACGTGAAAGACAATGTTCTAC